AATTAAAATTTATATGGAAAAACAAACCTTGATCATTAGAAAATTTAGAAAGAAGGCATACCACTGTTGCCATTCAAGTAGGGATGTAGCAACTAGTATTAAAACTAGAAATGTAAAGACAATAGGGAGGTGGAAGAAGGTATGTTGCAAAGTTCATGGTAAATATCAAAATCAATTTGCTAAAGCAGAGCAAAGGAAAAAGTAGTTTGCTGGGTAAACATTATTAAAAAAACACAATGTACACTAAAAATGAGTTTCAGCAAATATATTTTGAATTATAATAAAATTTAGTTGAATACAACTTTGAATTCAATATTAAGAATGTTGAATTAAGAATCCCTGGTACTACAGTGGTTAAACACTCAGCTGCTAAACAAAAGATTGACAGTTCAAACCTAACGGTAAGTCTGCAAGAGAAATATGTGGCAATCCGCTTCCATAAGATTACTGCCTTGGAAAATCTATGAGGAAGTTCTACCCTATTCTATAGGTTCTCTATGAACTGGAATTGGTTGACGTCCTACAAAAATATTGAGTTTGATATGAAAGTAAATATACTTAACTTGGGTGTATAGTTTTAAAACTAATATGCTTTTATTTTAAAGTTAAGTAAAAACTTATTTAAAAGATGAATTTCGTCAATGTAGATGCACTTATTAAAGGAAAATAATTTTAGTGCTTGTTTCATAAAAATTTTCAAAATTTTATGCATGTTTGGAATTATTTAGGTATGCAATTCTACTTTTTTAACTCAATCTTTGAAACATAAATTCTGTCTAAATTGAAATATACTGTTGTTCTTAAGTGTCGTCAAGTCGGTTCTGATCCATAGTGACCCTGTGTAGGGATTCCAAAGAGCGGCTGGTAAGCTTGAACCACCAACCTTGAGAGTCACACCGACTATGCAGTCCAGTGCATCAACTCATAGCGCCACACCAGGAATCCAAAATATACTGTAAGCATAAAATATACACGATGGTATTTTATTATTGAGAAAATTTTGTACAAAAATGTAAAATACTTCATCAGTAATGTGTTGTACTGACTACATGTTGATATGATAACATTTTGGATATATTGGGTAAATAAAATTTATTACTAAATTAATCTCATCAGTTTCTTTTTACTTTTTAAAATATGGTGTGGCATTGTAGGATAAGCACTGGACTGTAAGGTTGGTTTGAATCTTAAGATTGGCAGTTCAAATTCACCAGCCATTTTCTGGAAACCCAAACAGGGTCGCTATGAGTCGGAACTGGCTCAACAGTACTTAACAACAACAACTACACAATTTAAAATTGTATATATAGCTCAGGTTTTGCTTCTATTGAGCAGCACTTGTATATATCTAGGAATGGAATTTCTGGATTATGGACTATTTGATTGTATTGCTCTAGAAGATAATGCCAAACTGTTTTCCAAAGTTGCTGTATAATTTAGACTCCCTTTAGCACTGTATCTCACAAATATATATCCTTTCTAATGATCGGTATTATCAGATTCTTAAACTTTTGCCAAGTGATCTTGACTTATATTTCCTTGATCAGTAATGATATCAAAGGAGCCAAGTTGTATATTAAAGTGCGTATCACAGTGTATGTTTAAGTGCTCAGCTACTAACCAAAAGGTCAGCAGTTCAATTCCACCAGCTGCTTGCAGTAGAAAGCTGTGACCATCTGCATCTGTAAATATTTACAACCTTGGAAACCCTATGGGACAGTTTTACTCTGTCTGAAAGTGTAACTGTGAGTTGGAATTGACTTAGCTGCAACAGTTTTGGGGTTTTTATTATTTGTTTGCGGTTAATGGTATGAAACAACTCTTCATATGTTAACTGACCGTATCTGTTTCCTTTTCTGTAAAACGTTGGTTCATGCCTTTTCCATTTTTCTATGGCATGTTTCTATGGGGTTGTCTGTGCTTTTCTAGTTGATTTGTTGGTAATCACTGTTAAAGACCCTAAAATTAAAATTAAAAAAAATTTAATTTAAAAATACCATTTAAAATATTAAAACCCTGAAATGCATCTAGAGAGGATGAACAAGACCTGTACACTGAAAACTATAAATATTGCTAAGAGAAATGAAAGAAGGCACTGTGGGTTAATGCACTGGACTGCAAAGTCGTTTGAACTTCAAGGTGGTTCAAGCTCACCAGCCACTCCTCGGAAACCCTATACAGGGTCGCTATGGGTCGGAACCAACTCACAACACTTAACAACAACAAAAACAAAATGATTGAGAAATATACTGTATTCATGGCTTTGGAGACACAATATTAAGACATCAATTTGTGTTGTGTTAGGGTGGGTATATAGAAAGAATAAAAGGAATAGAGTTCCGAAATAGACCCACGAGCAATTTTTGCAAAAGTGGTAAAAGAAAGCAATAAAATGGTGTTGAAATAAACATCTGTAGGCATAAAATAAAAATAAAGCAACACTTTAATCTTTTCCTCAAACCATACACAAAAATCAACTAAAATCATAAATCTAAAACTAAAACCTAAAATTATAAAACTTCTAAAAAAAAACATAAAATAAAACCTTTGTGAGTTTGGGTTAGATTTCTTCAGCTATAACACCACAAACTCTAGCCATAAAGGAAAAACTGATAAATTTGGATTTATAAAAACTAAAAACTTCTACACTTTGAAAGACAATGCACGGAGAATGAAAAGACATGTCACATACTAGGAGAAAATAATTTCAAAGAATATATCTGATTAAAGACTTATATGTAGAATATATAAAAATCTCTAAAGTTATCAGTACAAAACCAAAACAAAAGGATGCACAAAAGATATGTACTCCAAGAAGATATACACATGGCAAATAAGCACATGAAAAAATGTTCAGTATCATTCATCATAGCTGTTGTTAAGTGCCTTCAAGTTGATTCTGACTCATGGCGACCCTGCTTTCTGAGGAGCTACTGGTGAGCTTGAACTGCTGACCTTTTGGTTCAAGCTGACTGCAGCTCAGCGCATTAACCCACACCTAATATAATGTCTATTATAAAAATGATTGATCATTCATGAGGAACTGGATCTCTCAGACATTGCTGGTACAACCAGTTTGGAAAACCATTTAGAAATTTTGTAAAAAGATATGTACTGACCATATGGCTCAGCCATTCTATTTATAAGTATTTATCTAAGAGAGATGAAAACATATATCCACACAGGACCATATACACATATTCAAAGCAGCTTTATTTGTAATAATTAAAAACTGGAAACAACCAAGTAACTATCAACATGTGGATAGATAAACAACACACAAATTGCTTTTTATTCATAAATATGAAATACTATTCAGTAATAAAAAAGTAATAAACTATTGATACACACAATAATCATGCTGAGTGAAAAGAAGCAGACTCCCACAATAAAAGTACATTCTGTAGGGCGCCACTCATATAAACTTCTATAAAAAGCAAACTAATCTATAGTAACAGCATTATCAGTGGCTGCCTGGCGATGTGGGAGCAGGGAAGAACAGGGAGGAGACGTTACAAAGGAGCTCTGGTAGCATAGTGGTTACGAATCGGGCTGCGAGCCTCAAGGTCAGCAGTTTGAAACTACCGGCTATTCCGTGGGAGAAAGATGAGGATTTCTGCTCCCATAAAGATTTACAGCCTTGGAAACCCTGAACAGGGTCGCTAAAAGTCGGAACCGACTACTCGGCACATAACCACCACCATCAGGAAACTTTGTGGGTAATGGATATGTTCGTCATTTTAATTGTTGTCATGGTTTCACAAGTGTACACAATTTCAAAGCTTTTCAAATTTCACACTTTAAAGGCATCCAGTTTGAGTATTATCTGTCCATTACATATCAATAAAGAAAAAAAATTGATGAAAATTTAGTAAAAGTTCAGTTCATCAGTTGCCCTCATCACATTTCAAGTTTTCAAACAACAACATGTGGCTAGTGGCTACCCTATAGTGGGGCAGCACATGTGTAGAACAAGAAAAGTACTATTGAACAGCACTGATCTAGCGCGTATTAAAAAGCACTTGGTTCTTTCATTCTTCCTACATCCAACTACCCAAACTTCAAAAAAGGCTGAGAATAGGCAAGGAAATATGGCACTAATAGATAAATTATCAGAGGATTTAAAAATCAGAGCATTAAGTTTATTTTCATGTGACTTTGCTGTGAAGTAAAATATGCCTTCTATTCATAAACATATAGCACACTGCCTCCTTATTTAGATAGCACAGCTTCTATGGATTATAGTTAATTACTTCCTCCAAAGCTTAAATTGAGGACAATTATAAATCAAAAGACAAGGAAGGAATGAAACAGGTAACAAACACTCTCTTGGAATATATAACCAGTAAAGCTTCAATATGGTCATAATGAGAATATACATTTTTTTTTTCATACACTCACAGTTGCCTTATTTTCTGAGTTTCTAAAGTTAATTTTATACGATGTATTGCAATAATTTTCCTATTTAAAATAATCAAGCACATAATTCTAACACAACAAATAATCAGAAACCTCAAATATGAGACCAGACCTTGAAATAAAAATACCATCTATATGCACTGAAATATCTCACTTTCAATCAATAGTTTATAAAATTAGAACAGAGAAGTTGCTAAACCTGGTATTTTTACTATAGCTTTTAGTCCCCTTTCTTCAAGCTAACTCTGTTTTGAAAGTTTGAGATAATTTTTTTCACAAAAGCTCCAACTCTATTTTAACCTTGTGGACTCGATTGAAAAGCAGAGTCTGTTTGGTTTATGGGTTTGTTTCTATATGTATTATGTAGGGCTCAAATCCACAACTATCCTTGTTCCAAAGCTTCACATACAAACCCTTTCTGCACGTTTTGGCATCTGAGTCACCTCTGTTTTAGAAATGGAATACGGAAAAAGGCAACTGGAGTTGGGGGAAGGTATTGTAGCAGATAAGCAGAAGAATAAATAGAAACCAAGACCCTCTGTTGTTTGCAGAGGTAGAGCTCGGAAACCAGTTTCACTTACTTTTTTACACCGACAGAGCCATTTTCCTTGTTTTCCATGTCAACAGATAGCATGGGAAGGCAGCAGGGTTCCTTTACTTCAGCAACTAATCAATAAGGGAGAAAAGCTCGTGTTTAATTCTTAGAAAGTGAGAGAAGAATATATATTATGTATCGGAAACCTAATGGTGCCTTTTACAGCTTCACACCAATTCTCCTATGTTTGTTTAAATCTCCAGTTCCCTCGATGATTGGAGAGATGTGATTTAACCTAAAGAATTGGAGGAGACCGATTGGGGTGCTTTCAACTGTACTGGCACTCCCTGTCTTGACAATAAGCATTTGCAAATGAAATTGAATCCTCCTTCAAAACAAGTGCTGTATGAACTGACACTGCTTCCTCTGGGTGCCAGGCTCTCTCACTTAAGACATTGCAACTCATAAATGAGTGAAAGTAGAGAAAAACAATTTCCTTTCCCTACCCCCTCCAACATGGGTATGATTTTTTTTTTTCTTATTGCATTTGTTTTTTGTTTGTTTGCTTGTTTGTCCATTCCCACTGCTCCGATATTTTTTTTTCATTGCAAAGCAGAGGACTTAAAGCTTTTGTTAGTAAGTATTCCCCTACCTCACATATTCTTAAGGAAAGCTTCAAAAGCCAGTCTGTGAGATGGCCACACTGTGATAAAGCTGGAAGCCCATAAAAATGTCAGATAGCCCTTAGCACAGAAAGGTGGTGCTAGTGTGTGTGTGTGTGTGTGTGTGTGTGTGTGAGAGAGAGAGAGAGAGAGAGAGAGAGAGAGCGGCTTATTAGATTTACGTAAAAATAATCAAAACATTCAAGCATCCATCACTTTGTCTTTTTGTTTAGTTGGATGAGGACTGTGAAGAAATAAAATCCCTCCATAATTAATATGCAATTAGCCAGATGAAAAAGCTCTGAACAAAACTGCTTTAAGGGAAAAAAAAAAAAAAACCCACCAAAAACTAGTTCTGAAACGTGCTAGCTCTTCTACAACTAAAGCCATAAATTAAATACATTTCCTCTCAAATCACTTTATACTTCGGCACTCCTTCTCTAGGGATTATTCTGACATGACAAGTGCATTATTTAGTATATTCACAAGGTTTTATCACTGTTAGAGAAGTAGATGATTAACAAATAATATTGTAAGTGTGGGACAATCTTCATCCATGGTACACACACACATATACACAAACTTCCAGTTGCCAAACCACTTAGATCACTGATAGAGAAATTAACATTTAATAGCCACATAGGTATTAACATACATTCACACACCGTTACAGAGTAGACAAGAAGATAGCGCTGCTGTTCCATGCCAAAACAATGATTTCACTTCAGTTGGAAACTGTTACACATTCACCATTTTCTAAGCATTTCAGGAAAAACAAAACAAAACAAAAAACACAATGATACTCTGCAATATCACACTACATTGTCTTATTATTTTGGTGGAAGAGTAAAAAGAAAACCTACCTATAAGCAACTAAGACATATCATTTTTTATAGGCTTATCAAGAACAGCCAAAGAAACCCCAATGTTTTCTTTCACAAAGTAGGCTGGCAAAGGAATTCAATAAGGAGGTACAATTTGACACAGTGAAATAAAACCAGGCTGGCTCTCAGCCAACATGACGTTAGGAATCACACACAAGCTGCACCAACTGCCTTCTGGTTCATGGCTGACTTTTTAAAGCTACAGTGTGCTTGTTCACTTTTGCTAACTATCTTCAGCACTATTAGTGGAAGTGAATGAACCATGAGTCTAAAACTTCAGAATTTTCTCTGCACCTGTCTTTTACAAGGAAAAACAAACTATATCCATAGACTAATGTTTTCTCTCTCCCTTTCATTTTGACTGCTTGCTAGCTATGTTTTTACTGTTGTTCTGAGCATGAATACAATGTTTCAAACTATTTCTTCTCCTCCATCCCCTATGGGAAAAATAAGATAAACTACCCACTACTTATGGAGTTATGTGTGACCAGGGAAAACTCAGAAGCTGTACTATTGTGCTACTCTTCCTTCCTAATAGAGACTCATGAACAAAGTTCCCAGAGCTGGCTTTTAAGTAATCTCTTTGTGAGAATAAGCATAGGACCGCCCAGCAGAAAATCCTTTTACTTCATTATGCAGGAAGTAACATATTTAAAAGTGGATGCAAAATAGAGGACCAGATCTCCTGAGAACGCCCACATTCTTTTACTTTGGCATTCATCCTACCAAGTGAAGCCAGTAGAAATTCAAACGAAAAAAAAAAAAAAAAACCCAAAACTGTATTTTATAAAATGAAAACCACTAGTTCCGGGAGATTCAATTTTAACAGTTTATCTAGTTGTAAAAAAACAAAACAAAACAAAAACAAACTTTATTCAACAAATTCAATCAACATTTATTGGTACAATAGTTACATGTGAATAAAAAGATATTATATCTTCCCCAAAATTCATAAAATCTACCACCAGCATTGGGAATTAAATCCCAATTCAGAAAACTGGGATATTGGATAAAAGATGCTGGGCATGACTTTTTGATTAAGTCCTTCCAGGCAGTGTTAAAGTTCTCTTGTTTGGCTGAGAACCACTGCTCAAGAACATTCCCATCATAAGCACCCTGTACATACAAAGAACACATAAATGATTGCCTTTTGGTCAAAATAAACACCAATAAAAAGTTAGACACTTTTTGGTTAAGATGTCAACCAAACCACTCAAGTCAGGACACAGGATTTAAGTTCCCATGAAAGGCCCTAGAAAAAAGTTATCTGCTGCTTTAATATCATGTAGATTTCAGACAGATTTGAGAAGTTGTTCACCTCCCTCTTTTCCCAGTAATCTTTAAGTGCACCCAGAGATTAGCTAAATTTGGAACTCAAATTTCAAAGTCAAATTTTGCTTTTTTTTTTTCTTTGCTCCCTTACTTATTACAGGAATATTAGAAAAGTCAACATACTGAAAGGCCATCACTGAAAAAGGTTTTAAGTGGTCTTTCTAATTATCTTTGCCATTACCCACTATAAAAATAAAGAATTTTAATTTAGGAATAAATTCTAAGTGATCCAGCATTTTGAATACTAAACCAATCACTGCCAATGAGTAGATTCCAACTCACAGTGAATCTATAAGACAGAGGAGAGTTACTCCATAGTACATCGTCCAGGTATTGTGTTTTGCTTTGTCACGCTTCACAGCTAATTGCATTTTTTAACTTTTTACATATTGAAGGTTTATGGCAACCCTTTGTCCAACAAGTCTAAGTGCCATTTTTCCCACAGTAAAATTTTAATCACTGCAGTCTTTACTTCTTATATCTTTATGACATTTTGTTAATTCTCACAGTATTTCAGAATTTTTCATAAGGCTGCTGGTTATGGTTGTATGCTGTGGAGTCAGTTCCAACTCATAGTGACCCTGTTTAGGGTTTCCAAGGCTATAAATCTTTACGGGATTAGAAAGACTCATCTTTCTCCCGTGGAATGACTGGTAGCATCGAACTGTTGATCTTAAGGTTAGCAGCCCAGCTCGTAATCTACTACCCTACTTGGGCTCCTTCATAATGTTATTATACAATTAATAGACAAGCATATAGTATATTATACTGCTGTGGTGTTGTAGGATAAGCACTCGACTGACCTCAAGGTCAGTTTGAACTGCAAGTTTAGTAGATCAAACTCACCATCTGCTCCTCAGAAACCTTATACAGGGTTGCTATGAGACAGAACAGATTCCGTGGCACTTAACAACAACAACAACAATAATATACTGTATTGCAATATTTGTTTTATTGTAGTGATCTGGAACTGAACCCAAAATATCTATAAGCTTTGCCTATACCTTTTTTTTATTTGCCCCAAATGGATCAGGCAGGTTGATCGTTTCTGAAATTAATAATAAAAATGAATAAAGAGCTCTCTCACCAATAGATCCCATAAAGTCTTTGGACATGATCTAAATTGGCTCTGTAGGATAAGCACTCAACTGCAAGGTTGGTTTGAACCACAATGTTGGCTGTTTAAACTCACCAGCTGCTCTTCGGAAACCCTATGTGGGATCGCTATGAGTTGGGACCGACTCTATGGCCCTAACAACAACAAATTCAAAGTAGTAGGGGCTGGACTGTGAATCCTGAAGACAGGGGAGGATGATACAGGGGTATCCTGACAGCCTCCACTCAGAATAAAATCTCCATGTTTTGGAAATGATAAATACAAGAAAACGTAGTTACCCCCAACTCTTTCCTAGACACTCTCACAGGAAGAAGGATTCGTGTAGTTTTTCCAAGCATTTCTCCTAACATAAGCAACTCTAGTAGCATATCGGTTACAAATCGGGCTGTGAACCGCAAGGTCAGCAGTTCAAAACTACCAGCTGCTCCGCGGGAGAAAGATGAGGCTTTCTGCTCCCTTAAAGATTTACAGCCTCAGAAACCCTGTACAGGGTCGCTATGAGTCGGAACCGACTCCATGACACATAACAACCACCACCACCACCACCACCACCACCACCATAGAAATGGGCAACCTCTCACCTCTTGCCTGTGGTGATCAAACGTTTGCCTGTTAAACAAGTGTAGGGGTTTCAGAAGATGTATGTAGGAAAGCTGTCCCTTTCTATAAGAAGGCAGCCAAACGTGGGACACTATCTAGAGAAACAGTGACACCAGAGATGGAGGCATAGAATGAGGACATGAAGAAATGGAGCAGCTGAGGACTCTAGACTCATAGAGAAAAGCTGTGTGCTGGCAGCCAGGAGACAGGCTTGCAGAATGTGCCCTTGGGTTGTTTAAATGATTATATATTCCTGAGTGTTTTGGTGTACACCCTCCCCCTGAAAAAATAAACAAAAAAATTCAGAGGAAATAAGAAGCAAATAATAGTAAGGTGATAAATTAAGGAGCTCTGGTAGCGTAGTGGTTACGAATCGGGCTGCGAACCGCAAGGCCAGCAGTTCGAAACTACCAGCCGCTCCGCGGGAGAAAGATGAGGCG